GTTCTCGAATTGTCCATGTAAGTTCAAAACTTTGAAACCTATCAAAAAATATACATGTCAATTCTCATTAGAAGGGGATCTTGACTGAAAATACAAGAAGACAGTTAGATGTTATTTCTAGTACTTGAAGATGTGTTGGTTTGATGTGGCATACCTGTTTTTTGTTTTTTTGATGTCCAAAGAAATGGAATCAAAGCTACTGTCCCAGCTATGTTTTTGTTGCCCTTCCTTGTTGCCTTGTTTGATGTCTATATCTACTTTGTTACTTGTCTCCTTATGTGTTTGTTGGAGACCAATATATAGTTGTACCATGTATTCTTAACTATCTGGACAGAGTAGAGTTCTCAGTTCTCACCTAACTCTAGAACTATCAAGCTTAATATGCAACTTGGTTAGCTTAATATGCAACTTGGTTAACTTACTATGCAACTTGATTAAAAAGTGAGGGCTATTTAACATGCTATATGTGTACTGGAGGGCCATTTAACAAGTGATTGACTAAGGATCTATTTGTGTATTGATGTTAAAGTTCACCATCTTTGATAATGAAACAAATCACAACTGTAAGTAATCAACTCATTGACTATAAGTATCTTCAAGTTAAATGTACTGCAATCAGCTTAAAAGGTTATGTATTTTCTGCATTTCCAAGTAATGGTTTTCCTAGTTTATTTGCTTTAAAAATCTTAGATGGTAAAGTAGTACTTGTTAGATGGTAAGCCTAGATGACATGCACCTTTGCTTAATTCATTACAAAAAAATATTAGCTTAGTGATAAAGAACATATAAAATCCACTAAAGTATCTGCATTAGTTACAGGGGTAGGGTATTCCAGCTAAACAAATTAGCTAAATAGTTAGACTTCAGATAAGAGGTTTGAGTTTTTGTGCTAGCAAAGCATCTGGTGTTGCTTTCTGTCCATAAATACCAAAATATGACTGATGGGACCATTCCCCAAATCTTTCTGATGATTTTATCAACTCTCCAAAAATACCAACTTTCATATGCTTGCTTCACTGTCTGAGGCATGACCCATTTCAATCCAAAAGTTGTAAGGAAGAAGTTCCAAGCTTCAGTAGTAACTGCAGTGTAGAAGGACATGGTTGATACTTGCTGAGTTTTGCTGACACAAATAGCACCAGTGTGAGTTCTTTTGCATAGGTTGTCTTGGGTTAGACATGCCGCTCTTACAAATGTAAAGTGTGTGGTTTCCTATTCTTTAGAAACTTACATAGTAGACCAATATAAATTTTTTCCTAATCTTTAATGCCCTCTCTTTACCTCTATTTATTACAGGAAACATATGAAGAGATCTTACAGGAAAAAACGGCATCTCAATCTGATATTGATCAATCTGAAGCATATTACCAAGCTGCGGGCGGAGAAAAGAAGAGAAGAATATACGGTCTTGGATCTGAAGCGAAAAATTACTACAAGCATAAGCTTTGTGGCTCATCATCTGTACGACCTTCAGTTTCTCAATCAGCATCAACAACAAATATGGATGAATTTGTAAAGGAAATGCTTCCTGCACTTACTAATCATTTTCTTCCTGTTATTATGGAGCGGGTACAAGAAATGATTACTCCCGTTGACAATCCGTCACCTTTGACCCCCATAGTGCCTCCTCCTGCTACTACTAATGAGGTTGATCCCTTAGTTTCAAGTGACGACGATTCTATCCCATAGTCCCCTGCAGCTTTAACTTTTGATATTGTCTGTTGTTTTGGAAATTATAAATTGTGCAGTAACAATAGTTTATGAATGTAGCTGCTTTTAAGAATATTTGATACATTGCTTTTGATGTTTTGCACTAAAATATGTGATTTACAATAGTTTATGAATGTAGCTGCTTTTAAGAATAGTTGATACATTGCTTTTGATGTTTTGAACTAAAATATATGATTTGAATTTTGCTATCTACATATTTTGAATAGTCTAAGTATTATTTCATGTGAATGTTGGTTATTTTAGGGGTATTTAATAATTGTCATTTAATTTATTTCGATAGTGTAGATTTAAAATAAATAAATTAAATTATTTTAAAAGAAATTTTTTAGCAACAAATTTAATGATGATTTGGTCGTTTCTATAAAAAAAATATTGGCGACGGAATAGCGACGAACTTTTAAGTGGAAAATGTGCAGAATATTTTGCGACAGATTAGTGACCGACACTCCGTCGCGAAGTTATCCAAAGTGACGAAATAAATTATGAATTTTTCAACGAATTATATAAGTATAACGACGGATTAATCCGTCACTAAAATGTGGCAACAAATATCGTTCGTCTCTAAGACGTCGCTAAACTTGCGACGGAACTCATTTTTTCGTCACTAAGAGATTATTAACGAGCAAAATAGTAACAACTGACAATCCGTCGCTAATCCGTCACTAATCCGATATAGCGACGGAATATCATCGATTAGCGACGGATTTCGTCTGTCGCTAAATGCTGATTTTTTTGTAGTGATTCATCATATTGGATTTACTCTCAAAATCCTAGTGATCAACATTCATAACTATGAGTCTTCATTCTTAATAACTCTACACCATAAAAGAATCCTATGAATCTAGATTACAAGGCATTCTAATCACATTCTTCACTACTAGGTAATTCTAGTCACAATTCACCATAAAGGCTCAACTTCATCCATTACTACTCAAGATCCAACATATTCACATTATTCTAATTCAATGCATGTCTATATATTTGTATTCTTAGTCAATTACTACTCATAGCACTAATTCTAGAAGATCACCTAAGAATCATCAAGTTCACCTTTCATGGCATAAACTCACATAATACCAAATTCATCAATTAGGCTAGCTAGGGTTAATAATGGAAATCACATAAATTCATCATAATATCACAATTCAATTCTAATTCAATCATAATTAAGTATTATCCATTTGATTGGAATCATACTTCAACACTACCCATAATGTAGGAAGAAACCCTAGCTAGAATTGGGTTTGTCTTCACAATTGGGGGAAAATCTAGGGGGCTCTATGGGTGGAAGAACTCATAGATGAATAAGCTAACATACCTTAATTCAAAGCCCTCACCAAGCTTGAAACAATGGAGGCAATTCTGCCCTACTTCCTTCTCTTCTTCTTCTTCTTCTAGAGAGAGAATTATTTAGAGAGAATTTGGGGTCTTGGAAGAATGAATTAATTCACTTAGTTTAGGGGTCTATTAGGCTTATATAGGCGGTTTAATAACTAACTAACCGACCTCCCTTAACCCCTAACTAATTACTAATTAACCCCCAAGCCCTTAACTTAAAAACTAAAACTTAAAATCTGCCTCCACCCATGAAACCCCCACCCATGGACCGTGGGTGGGTCTATGGATCGTGCTGCACTTCGTAGGTGGGGTACTGGAGCTTGAAATTTGCAGGGTAGGTCAATCATTGACTCACGACCCCTTCCCACGGGGAGTGGGTCCATCCACGACTCGTGGATGCCCTTCGTGGGAGGCTGTTGTTTTGGACAGCTTTTGGACTGCTTTGGGGTCCTCCTCAAAGACCCCTTGGGTGGTCCTTGTGGGGGTCGTACCTTGACGCCCTAACCCTACAATCCTCATTCTAAGTAAAGGGAATCATTTTTACAATATTTAACCCTTATCCCAAACTCTAAAACCCTAACACAAGGCTCTAGCACTCTCTAGTTTAGCTCACTAGTTTCCAAGTATTACACCTCTACCCAAGAGAACATTGAAACAATGATGTAGTTTGACCAAAACTTAGATGATTCAACTAACTAAGTCTAGTTAATACGACTCAAACTAAATACTTAGACAAGCAATCGATATACTATCATTTATAACTTAGGAGTAGATTTAAAATTTAAGCACATAAGACACAAAACTCAAAATACAACAAATACTCTTCAGTACTCCATCAGGTCCCTTGTTGATATGAGCAGTGTTCTTCCTTGAAGTTGGCTTCTTCTTTGTAAGCTTATGAATTTTCAGAAATTCAAATATTTGTTTGCCAAATATTGGTTTGTGTTTTGTAAGAAGAGATTATATTAAATGGACACAAACCTCTATAGATGACCTCATTGGCTGAGAGCCTGCTTCTCTAAAAGGATGTGCACCAATCACATCAGAGGTAACAACTTTTCTGACAACTGTCTTGTCGTCCTTTTCACATACACAGTCTTGCAGGGAACAGGTCCCTTGTAATGTGTTATTTGTGAGTTCTTGAGAAGACTTGCTAACTCTCTCTCTTTTTTGAATGAATAATGTTATTTGTTTATTGTGGTATATATATGAGTCACCAATAAGAGTTTTGACCACTGACACAAACAACCTCGTCCACCCTTCCTATTGGTGAAGTACACTGCACTTTTCACCAACCATTCTGACAGGATAGCTTTGCAACTGTACCCCCTTTGAATCTGGACGAGAGCACTCTGCCAGGGATCGGGTGCCTGCATTTGTGAGGATCATCAAAACACCTAGAATATAACATTTCCCCCCTTTTTGATGATGACACATAAATAATCCTCACATTGAGTTTATTCATTCCTTTGCCCAATAACAAGGATTTGGTCCCTTGTTAGATCCCTAAGTTTGTTAAATCATCAAAATTTAGCATCAACTCCAAAGTAACAATGACCATCATGGTGTACAAGATGATCGAGGAAAGCCAGACTGAGATGATTTGGACGTGTGAAGAAGATGCTTAAATGCACTAGTGAAGAAATGCGAGAGGTTGGTTATACAAGGTATGAGGAGAGCTGGCAGAGGTAGCTAAAGAAGTATTATAGGGAGTGTTGATAAGACATGATATGACTCACCTTTAAGTTACCGAGGACATGACCCCGAGATAAGAAGGTGTGGAGGACATGTATAAGATTAGAGGGTTAGTAGGTAGTGTAGTGTTGTCTTACTTAGGGTGGGTGATATTTTTCATTGTCGTTATACTAGTATTATTATAGTTCTTGTTTTGATAATTCGATTATCGTACTATTTTTGTTGTTACTTGCTATGTTTTCATCATTGTATTTGTCTTTGTACCTGGACTTGTTATACTTGAGTCGAGAGTCTTTTGGAGACAACTTTTATACCTCAACGAGATGATAAAGTCTACATACATTTTACCCTCTCCAAATCCACTTATAAAATTTCACTAAGTATATATATTGTTGTTGTTGTTGTTTACTAAACTATTATTTTTCTTATTTCCTATTTATTTATTTTTTGTAAAACACATATAATATATATATTAATAGAACTTAATATGCATTATTACGAAGAGTGACATGACAGCTAGTATGCTAGAGTTATTATTAGGAAATATTTCATTGTTATTACAATTTTCAGAATCTATTATAGGTCTTTTCAATCTAACAAAAGGAGTTCTTACTCTATCTGCTTTCACCTTACTAAATACAAATAAAGGTAGAACTGTCCATTACACAAAAAGTTTGTTTATTTTATCTTAGATCTATCCTTAGCTAATGCTACTATTTGATTTTCTTTTCGATAGCTATACTGGATAAAGGGGTTCCCTAGTTGGCAAAACAATACCCTGCAACCATTTAAAATATTTATATAAGATGGGTGGTCCGTTGCAATCAAGTTAATGACTTCTATGAAGTATGAAGTCCATATTGATTTCCAATGGTGTGAACTCATTTGAGAGAGCAATATCAAAGCCTCTTAATAGCGCCATAATTTCAGCTTTGATGATCGTTACGTCATATAAATATTTTCTATTTATGAACACACAATTTGGACTGGATGAACTACTTCAACATGAAATAAGAGGTTTCTCTATGTCTAAATTTTAGATAAAGAATGTTCAAATTTATTCATCAACTTTTAGTTACAATCTTCAATTGAAACTCCGTTAGTGTTCAATGACAAAAACAATTTCTCCAAACAGCACGAAATATTAGACTAAAAGTCAAATGAAGATTATATTTAAATAACTTAATTTCGAATAACACCTCAACAAATGTTTGTCAATCTTCTTGAAAGCTATGATGTGTATATTAAAAGAGCCATTAAGAAAGAATTTCAATATTTGGTCCCATAATAATAATAGGAAATCTTGATGTTGTCTTGGATAATTTGTTAAGGTCGACTTTTTATGATCTAACGTTACATTTGAATTAGATTTTGGTACCACGTAAAGATCTCATGAGCCCACTTGTATAACCAAATTTGAACTAGATTTTGACCATCACATTTACTTTTATCACCTAATCTTTTTCGACAAAGTACGAAACTCATCTTCATGGAGTTATGACAGCCTTTGTAATGTATCCCTACACAACCTACAGTGTGGTACCATATGTCAACTTGCTCGTTTAACACATATTGTTTATTCAAAGCACGTTTAGTATTAATGAATCATTAGTTCAATATTTGAAAAGAGTTCTAAAATTAAAAACATATGTTACATCATTGAATCACCTAAAAGATATCTATTTTATATAATATAAGTTCAACTCACAATGTGCAATTAGTGAACTTTAGCATCCTTAAATGTTATGTATTATTTTCTCGCGCATGTTTATATCGAATTAGTTAAATTTACCATGATTAAATAATAATTTAATGATACAAAAATATGCAATATTTAGTCATAATTAAGTGATAGAAGTGTGTATGTGATCACATATCATTTATTTTACTACTAGTTTAGGGCAGACACACGATGAGGATTACCA